AGAATACTGACGTCCCTTGTTCGGCGCACTTCGAAGATGACTGCTTTGACACAAGCGGTCAAGCGAGAAGACTTCGACCGGGTAGCATTGCAACTATGTTTGTTTCCTCTCGTTTCCGTAAAGCCGACCCGCATGTAAACAATTTAGCGTGCGACGAGACGAGTGACGGAGATTTCTCACGGTTGCCCGTTGCATCGCTCGGTTTTCGGGATTTCTAGAAAACGTCGCTCACCGTCTTGGTCGCTTCGCCGTCGCTTCCATGCGGTTTGCCTCGTCGTGCGACTGACCGAGCGACAGCGAAGCGGGTCGCCGTTGCTCGCCAAAGCGCTTACATGTGGTTTATACTCAATTAATTTACAAGCACACAACGTTGAACCATTGGTGCCTCGATTTTAAGTATAAACTGCATGCAAGCGATTTGCCAAGCAATGAGACAAGCGACGGTGACCCGCTTCGCTGTCGCTGGGTCAGTCGTGTGACGAGGCGAACCGCAAGGAAACGACGAAGCAAGCGACCAGGACGGTGAACGACGTTTTCTAGAAACCCAAAAACCGAGTAACACGACAAGCGACAGTAAGAAATCTCCGTCGCTCGCCGCTGACTCTTGTCGTCGCCACCGTTCATCTCGTCGCAAGCTAAATCGCTTACATGCTGGTCATCTTTACAGAAACAAGTGTGCACATGCAGCGGGAAGCACGACTGGATAGCCTTACTGCGTCAGTTGAAATTTGCATATGTCGCAATAGTGTAGACTGCCCTTTATTAGCGAGAAAAACGCCAGAACGGGATGAACTTATATGGTCTCTGAAATCATAATCTTTTATCGTCGATCCATTCGCTGTCCGATTCCATTTCATAAATACGAAAATACAAGAGCTGTGTTGAAATATAGATATCAAATGATTAGACAAAAGCCCGAAATATCGAAAAGACACACAATTTCAACACGGAACGTGAAAGAACACGAAAAGAAAGCTCCGGTAGTGGCCTGTGCAGCACACAACGCGGGGGAACGGTGAGAAACTGAAGGTCGGCTATGGCGGCAGGGTCACGTGACGTCAATATGCCGGCGCCCATGAAATGTTGCCTGAAAGGGTCTATAGCTATGCTTTTCTTGTCTTAAAAACATCATTGTAACAATCGTGCAACTTTCTGAAGTGCTTTTCTAAAGTGCCGTTAATGTTATTGACCCACGACTAGTTAGCTCCACATACTGTGAACAACTTTATTTTTGCGGCCTCAATATTTCGCAAATTTGGAGAATATTTCATGCGCAGAAAATTTTGCGAGGAGTGGTGAGCTATATATTCTTTACCATATATTGGTGGGATGCGTTTTTTGCAGAAATTTTTAAGTCAAGAAATTTGCGAACAATTAAGTTGTTTACAGTAGTCGGGTACGCTTATTTGCCTCCCAAGCCTTTGTAGGGCCTGACAAGTCAGTCTTCTTCACCGTGCTATGGTGTACTAGAATCTAGTACATTATAACCATGCGAATTCACGCCGCTCTTCCATCAAGATTCAATTTCTCGGAAGAAAACCGAAAAAAAACTCGTCCCCTCCCCCGGCTGGTGCCGATGCCGTCATCTGAACGCAACACAGCGCTTTGGCATTGCCACTGGGAATTGCACAGAGCCCTTGCTTCAAGCAAAATGGCAGCCTTGTTCCCATCTAGCCTAGCAACACATGCATTTTGTACTCTCGAACCGGAAAACAGGCAAAGGTCCATTCTCTGCAGTGCTTACTGGTAGCACCCACATTTGCAAAATCGTCCACTGACAGTGAGAGTACTTCCCCTATTTCAACAACTATAGCATCAATGTGTATTTTTGCAACAGGTCTACATTCTGTTTCACATCACGTCCCACCGCAGCGGATGCTCCAAGCCGCCTCAGCCAACCCAGCTCTGCGAACGTAGCACTTGATATGCTCTACGCATGTCACCCTCTTCAAGGTCAAGTAAAGGCCTGGTCACACATACAGCGGACCGTTAAGTTAGCGCTACGTGAGTGCTCCAAAGAGCGCTCATGTGGTGCTTCCTTGCGCGTGACTTAGTTCTAATATAGCGCGCAATCAGCGCTTTAGTAGCGCTCCTTGTATGACCGTTATTGCTGCAGATTAGCACGTGTACTGATGTTCAGGTTCCTGTGGTTGGGTGTGCAACAGTACCATGACGGACATGTGGGATGCTGAAATAGAAAGGCGACAAATGCCCTTACATACGCAATTAGTGCATATGTGTGTGGACGACTTAACGCCCAGAAGAGCCTTCTGAGTGCACGAAATCTTTCGCCACCGAGATATCGATGGGTATCCGGTGAACCTCAATCCCAGGCCGAGGGACCGGGACACAGAGCTCTTTAGAAGGTGATTATTTTTTAACTGCGTCTCTCTGAAATCAGGATCACGCATGTTGAATAGACAGTGATAAGGTCGTACCCAATCAATTAGTTGCTCAGAGTCCATGACTCTGAATCGTTTGCCCGACCCTTTGCTTGGAGAGCGGCTCTTTTACTTCCTCTTCTTTCAATGCCAAGGGAAAAATAACAACGGAATCGCCGTGCATGCGTTGCTTCGCAGCAGCAAGCACGGCACAAGGAGCGCGCTTACACTGCGCTGCTAAAGCAACAACCAAACGCTGCTTCCAGCGCTCATGAAGCCCTAACTGAGCGCTCCGCTGTATGTGTGGATCAGCCTTAAAGGGACACTGACACCCCCAAATTTTTTTTTTTCATTTTTTGCCAGGCGCTTTATTATGGTGTCGGGGGACTACCCAATTAATATTTTGCCACAGAGTAGCGTATTTTTTTAATAAAGCCAAAAGACGCAACTGCTCGAAACCGAAACCGAAACCCGACGGAGGTCGGAGAAGTGGAGAGAAGAGAGTGAGGGGCGGAAGTCACGTGGCTACACCCGACCGTGCGTTTTTTTTTTTTTTTTCTCCTCTCCGTAGCAGACGACACGACATGCGGCGTGCGATTCTTTTGCAGTTATGTTTGTTCCGCTCGTTGTTCTGTACTCAAGATGAATTGTTTTGTACATTGAAGAGTTGGAGATGAGTAGTGAGTGCCCGTGGTGAATTTCCATGATAGGCTCCGAAAAGAATACACCCAAGATGTTGCGTGAAGAGCTGGCTCACATGTCCTGCATCCGAAAAAAAGTGGCATTGTGTGACAGAGTTTCCGAAAGATCAACGGGATCGGGACCAATGGCTGGCTGCAATTCCTGTAGAACAGATACGGGCACCTCGGAAAGCGGACGCTACCTGATTTATATGCTCCCTGCATTTTGTGGAAAGTGATTACATTGGGTTCGCAGGTGTCAAAACGGAAATCCCATACAATTTAATTCAGCGAAGTATCGTCCACAACATTTGTTTGTTATTTTTTTGTTTGTTTCTTCAGTGATGATTGTAAAAAAAGAAAAAGAAAAAGGTATATAAACATCAGAAAATGTTTGGAAAAAAAAATAATGAAGTTTCACGGGGGATCGAACCCGGTCCTACCGTGTGTGAACCGGACGTCTTTGCCACTGAGCTACTGGGGCATCTATTTTTTGGTGGATCTCTTTCCCTCCAAAAGCACTCCCGGGTCGAAGTCGGGAAGCAGCACGCTTTGGGGACATTCGCACCTAGTAAAGAAATCACACGCGTGCATATTCAACTCGAAGTAGACACGTCGTGCTTGACGTTTGCGCGAGCGATGTCTTCAGCCCCGAGAAGGGAGCGACGGCTCGGTGACGTCTTCGTGCAAATAGGCTTGGTAGCCGGGCGTGTCGTACGGGATGAATACCGATTCTTTTGATCAGTCCCAAATTTCTCTTTTAACGGTAGACAGAATCCGCCGGTAAAACGAACGACAGTTCTGAAATAGAGGTCCCACGCCCGTCGTCCGCTGCCATCGCTGTCCCCGCGAGTCCCACGATACGCGAAACGACGAACGCACAGAATGCTTCCGGTTGTCTGTGGAACTTTTTTTTCAATCAACGTATTTACAGCTTTTTAGAAGCCACAAAAAATGGGTTTCATATTTGTTTCTATTTTTAATATTGAGTGTGTGCCTTCAGTGACCCACGACTTTGATTAAATTTGGTGGTCGCATCGATACCTTAGAAAATGGCCCGTGACCGCGAAAAAGAGAGTGAGCGAGACTCGAACTGGCCAGTTCTTGATCGGCGGTTTTCGGGCGGAAAGAAACCGATTTTCGAGCCGCAAATTCTGTTCTGGGTAGTTGAGCTCTCATATGTCACGTACAACTAAAAACCTCGGCGAGCATAAATACCCTGTCAGTGTCCCTTTAACACTCACAGGGCCTTGGATTGGCTCCGATGGCTCGTAGGTGGTGTAAAGCCTTTCTATCCTGGGAAAAGCGGCACCATTCATTGTTGTGGAAATGCTCAAGACTTGTGCCGGGCACCACCTTCTGGGAAGAACATGGCGGCTGAAATTTAGCTCAGTGCTGCGCTGTGCTGCCATGATCTTCCCAAGGGCTACACGTAGCACGTACCTCGTGCATCGGCGCACCTTGCGCTACTTTTGAAACATAAAGGGGCTTTAAGGTGGTGCAGTTGGCAACGGTTGCCCTGTGGCCGCTGTTGCAAGAGCAAACTGTGGTTCGAGCACAAAATTATGAAGGTAGGCTTGTTAGTCATATGATTAAGGGCTTGGGGAAAGTGATCTATGTGACTTCGCCCATTACCTGGCCCACCCTTCTGTTGGGGCCTTCGTAGGGATGGCACAAAGAGTATGTTAAGCAAAATAGCTGTCAACATAAGAAAGATGTAATAACAATGTCAGCATGCAGAGCATGTTATGGTCTTAACTGGACAAGAGGCTAAACCTATGAGCATACCACTGCAAATATTTCATGTTGATCTATATAGCACACAAACTGCCTCTGCTTGCCAAACGTTTACCCCTGCATCCTTATTTTCAGAACGAGGCTGGTGTGCTGCAGTAATCAAATGACAGATGAAGAAATAAACTTCAACATATCGACTGACCTCACTGAAGTGAGCGCCGCTATCCTTCAGCATCCCGCTCCACTCCCGGCTGTTCGATGAAACCATGGCCTGCCTTGTGGCTCCTGCAGAAAGTGTTGGTCTCCCGGTCATCCTTGTTCTTTCCCGCAGAACCTCGGCACGTCCACCGCGGGCTGCTTTGCCTCGGGAGGATGACCGTCAATCCAGCAGTCATGACGAACAGACGCTTAATCGCCGCAAAAAGAACGAATCGACTGAATCTCGACAGCCGCGTCTGGTTAATGCCGAAGGTCTTTCCACAAGAAATCCCAGTTGCCCCAGTCACGGAACCCCCAGATATCAAAGCACGTGGTACACCCAGTTTTGGGCTAAATACACAGGCAATCGGAATCTCGCGAAAGAAATACATACGTAAAAAAATCAACAAGACACCAAGAAGGGAAAATCAACGCTCAGAAACGGGGATTCACGACAAATGGAGGTGGACTTGCGAAGATTGCAGGAACACCAGGAGCCGAAAAGTTAAACAACGGTCAAAACGCGGGAAACGGAGGGCTTCTCCCGCTTCTCATCAAATGTAACACGTGACATTGCATATAATAATTATCTCAAAATGCATTTAATATATCTAATATAATTTCATTTCTACTAATTTAAAATTTATATAAATAAACTTAACAAAATAATTCACTCAATTTATATAGACACGTGACCTTTTCTTAATAGCCAATCAGAATTCTGGGTCTACCTAACGCTGGGCGTTGCGTAGTCCGGGTCGACGCAGACACTGCCTAATAAATAAGATAGGTGGCGCCACACTGAGCATGACGGTTGATTCGAAGTGACTATGCGGTAGCAGTGTTAGGTTTGAACAGCAGCAGTTGAGGTTAGTTGTTAGAACATTTACAAAGATAATAAGGTGATTATAACATGGGAAGGAAAGGCGACGGGGAAAATAGAGATAAGACGAGGCATTAGTCCGGATTCTGAGTCAAGAGGTCCAACGAGTCAAAAGATCCAACGCGTCAAAAGATCCATTATTGGATCTTCTGACTCGTTGGACCTTTTGACTCGTTGGACCTCTTGACTCGCCGTGGATCTTTCGACTCGTTGGATCTCTTGACTCGTTGGACCTCTTGACCCACATTGGATCTCTTGACTCGTGTTTGGCGAGTCAAAAGATCCAACGAGTCAAAAGATCCGTTATTGGACCTTTTGACTCGTTGGGCCTCTTGACTCTCTGCCCGATCACCGGGGAAGGAGGAAAGGGCTCTGAAGAAGAGCAGGAAAAGAAAGAAAGGAAGGCAAAACTACAATGAATGACGGCTTTCGGGTGGCAAGGAGGGGAGTGACGGTCACTGCACTGAAGCAGGGTGAGATCCCGTGTCTAATAACAAAGCGACAAAAAAGTGGGAGATGAGAGAAACGGATACAGTGGCCTCAGAGACGACACATTTTGGGATACTGAATGGCTGGCTGTGTCACGGCGCTTTGCGTTTTCCAGTTTAATCGGATGGTGACCAACGCCATCGCTTCGTGCGGTATGCTTGACTAACGCAGGAATTTCCCGAGAGTTGTGCACGCTGCGCGGTAGTGGGGACGTAAAGCGTGTTTCACATGCAGCGGTTTTGGCCCTAGAGCGACGCGATTTCTGCCGTCGCGGCACTCTGGCCAGCACCAGCGGTTGAGCGGCACGAGCGCCGCGACGGCGGCAGTCATCCAGAGGGTCAACATGTCGTAGTATCCTGCCGGCCAGTGCAGCACGACTGCTGACTGGCACCACGCTACACGGAGAACCAGAATCGGCTTACGTTCGTGTAATCACTACTGCGTGCTGCACCTGAAGACCCCAGGCTATAATCCGTTTCACCTAAGGATGGGCCGCAGCCTATGCTAGAAGCCGAGAGCGCGACGCCTTGAACACTTTTGTGTTCGAGGCATTTCAGAGTTGGAGAAGGACCCTAGTACCACTTGTCTTGCTTTGCATGCACACGCTTCACTGGTTCGTGTTCAGGTTGAGCGGCATTGATCAAAAGCCATGCACAGTTTTATTAGTCTATCGATGTATTGTGATATTACCTATATATATATATATATATATATATATTTTTTTTTTTCCATAATCACGGAAGTTTTATATTACTTATTCTTTTAATGTACGGCACCTAGTCGATTTTGTTCGTGCAAACTGAATTATTTTATTCGCACGTAATAAAGCCGAGAAAAAAAAACCATTGTACTTTCCACATTTTCGTGACATATTTTGAGCCTTGCATCTCACGATCCATTACAGCGACCGCTTATCAAATGCTAATTTAAATTTCGTTATACCTTGTGTCGAACCTAAAAGTTTATTAAAAAGGAAAAGTTTACCATAATATCAACCCGCCTTAAAAAAAAATATATATATATATATTTTTAAATTACTATTTTGAATAATTTTTCATCATTTGCCTTCCCATTAGCCAAGTTCGATATCTTACCTTCACGGAAAGAACCGGTGAATTATGGGGAATTCCTCTCCTCGAAGTGACCATCTAAGGCGTATCCTAAAGGAGCCTTGAGACGATTTTTCTACTTGTGCTAAATACTAGTTAGAATCACTCCCTAACGTTAATCACTGAATAAACTTGCATTAGTTTTTCTTTCTAAGCCCAGTCGCCAAATAAATTTGAGAAATATAAGCATCGTTCATCCCCTCAACTTAAAGCCAGAACAAGCGGCCACGTGGCCCGGCGCCTATCCTATACCTTTAACGTTAATCATACCCACGTGCTGGGTTTGACAAAGTAGAGAACGTGTGCTCAGCTCAGACATTGTTGGAGTTGGGCTATTCTCATCACTGCTGTGGTTGGACACGAGCCACTACCCGAGTGTCCGCCGAGGCATTGACTGTTACGAGCTGAAGGCGAGTGCTCACGTAGCTCTCGTGTCCAATCTATACGTGAGCCGCGCTCGACTGTCGTCAGTCAGGTGATTTCGATTCCACAATCACGTCATTCAGCTTTGCAAAAGCAAGACTGAAAAAAATAGTCCCCTTTTATCTTCGCGATTTCACAATTTCACCGCGACAGGGAAGTTTCTGAATTAGTGGCGGTCTGTGCGATTATACTTATGCCAGGCTGGAACCAGTACAAACCGGCAAAGTCATGAACGTTCCAACCCGATAACGTTTCATGACCCTTTAAAGGGGCCATGAAATTATTTTAATGTTCAAAGAATCTAGTGCCTCAAAGACCCAGGAACCGGGGGAGGAGCAACAGGGGCTTAAGCACCCGTTGACATTTTCTAGGGGGTGCTGAGCATTATGCTGAGCCCCCGTGCGTTTGGCTCAAGGCCTACTGAACTGATTCCTACTGTACAACGCCTCCCCGCGACTAGGGAAGGAGCGGCGAGGGGCTTTCCGTGACTCCTTTGCAATATGAAGCGGCAGGTCTCCAGTAATTGGAGCATCTGACCTGCAATGGATCTCTTGACTCATGTCTGCCGAGTCAAGAGATTCAACGCGCAAAAAGTTCCATTATTGGACCTTCTGACTCGTTGGATCTTTTGACTCGTTGGACCTCTTGACTCGCCGTGGACCTTTTGACTCGTTGGATCTTTTGGCTCGTTGGACCTCTTGACCCACATTGGATCTTTTGACTCGTGTCTGGCGAGTCAAAAGATCCAACGAGTCATAAGATCCATTATTGGACCTTTGACTCGTTGGATCTTTTGACTCGTTGGATCTCTTGACCAGAAGCGCCTTAGGCAGGGGTGCCCGTTATCGCCTTTGCTGTTGATGTTGTATCTGAGAGGATTGGAGGATACACTAGAGAAGAGGGGGCTTGGATTCGACCTTTCGTACAGTAAGCTAGGCCAAAAAATTCAGCAATCTTTACCGGGATTGATGTATGCAGATGATATCGTGCTAATGGCTAACAACAGAACAGAGTTGCGGGAATTAATGAGCATCTGCGGTAGGGAAGGAGAGGAATTAGGTTTAGAGTTCAGTAGTGAAAAATCAGCAGTCATGATTTTTAACGATGATGAAGTTGAGAAGCTGAAGATACAGAATATTACAGTTGAGAGAGCTAGTAAAGAGTAAATACCAGACTTGTGCCTATCTCAAATACTCTACTCAAGGTACTGTATCTTAAATACTTTTTGAAGTATCTTGGTGTCTTGCACATACTTTTGATGGAGAGTATTTGATACTCTATTTTAATTACAATTCCGAGTATCTTGTACTCATTATCTTAAATACATTTTTGACATTCCGCCATTTTCTGAGATTTTTTTGGTATGAAGTGGCGTGGGCGTGGCACGAGCAAACGTGAACATTCTTTCGAGCAACCAAATCCTGTTGCTAGCTCTGATTACCTACGGTGACTATGACAGAGCTCGTGGAAACATCGCTTTTTTTGCCGATTGTGACTCATATTTCAGCCCAAAGTTTGTACAATGAACGTTTTCCCCTCGCCTACCCAAAGGCGCCGTTTGTTTCCATTGGGTTTTCCCCCAAAAAATCCTCAAACAAAAGGTGTGGTTTTACGGAAGTAAAGATGCCTCCCTGAGCGCAACGCCGACCGGGAAACAACCTACGACAACAATGCAGACTTGAGTGCCAAGAAAATAACAAATAGAAGAAAATCTTGAAGTGGACACACACACACACAAAACATTTTTGTTTTGCTTTTTGTATATTTGATTTTGCTAGGGCAATACGTCGAGGTTTTCTTTTGTTTATTTTCTTTTTGTCGTCAGTCCGTCCCTTAAGGCCCTGTCACACTGAGGCAACACGATGGCAACAGCAACACAACACGTTGTCCAACTGTCGGGCAACTTGTAGCTCGCTCCCCGTGTTGTCTGACAAACCTGTCACATAGCGGCAACAGCAGCACAACATGGACGACAACGAAAATGTTGCCTCAGTATGACAGCCTTCGGCAACAAAAACAGCAGCAACCTGTGTTGGACAACGCCTGCTGCCCTGATCGCTGGCTGAGCGAATTTCGGGCCGGCAACACGACAGCACAGATAGCTTCGATGAAAAAGCTACTGCCCTATCAATAACGTCTTACTCAAATAAAATCGTGGAAAACGTTACTTAACAATACTTAAGGCTGGCGTGCAGCTAAAATAATTTGAGGAATGTTCTTACTACGTAATTACAGAAAGCGATTGTCGAAATGGGCACAGCTACGGTCGTGAACGTGCAGACTACCAGTGTTAAAATTAGAACTGCCAGGCCAGGTCACATTACTGCTAGTGAAATAAAATGG